TCTTAGCTTCGAGAAAGTCTTACGCTAATGACTCCACGGGTGTACACTACTATACTTAAACCAGTGACGGTAATATATGCTTGGATCTATACAGGATTATGACGTTATATTCAACAAAACAAGATAAAAAAGTGATCAAACAATCGAATAAGCTAGTATACATTTTCAGTTTGCTTTCCATGACTTTGTTGCCAACGGAAGTATTAAAAAAGAGAGTTGTTGGGAACAACTGTCCGTGGACAATGCGGGCCGGCGCTCAAGTGCTATAACAGTATCTGCTAATCATAAAAAGTGTATATCCATGATAACAGGTTGTACATAGCCTTAGGACTATTTAGTAGGCACATAAGGGAAAGTAGAAAGAAGAAATATTTTGAAGGTGGTCATCCATGTTGGAGTGGTAGATCCTAGGAAGAGTCCCGAACATGGTGCATTTTTGATAATATGTTGTCTTAGTTTTAAAACTTTTGAAACAAACGTCGGCTTTCCAATCGAAGTGCCCTTCTTAAACTACGTGAGTTGGAGAATCAAGAACGTTGTCAAAGCCCAAATCAAAGATTGCATGAAATGGGGTCTGATAGAAATCAAGTACGATGCTACCCCTGTTAGCTAGCACTCTGTGGTCGATAAGTTTAAGTCTAATTGTACTTCTAGTAAAATCAGAGCTGTTCTGGACTCATCTCCGATAAATTGACGGATATCCCAACATGCAAAATGAAAGGAACCAAGGTCTTTACCAAGATTGACCTTACAGCATCGTTCCACAAACTGTATAATCCACAATTTTCATTATTGTTCACGTGGCAAAGTGATAAGTATTTTTTTACAGAGGCTCCTGATGAACAACGTTTGCTACCATACTTTTTTATAACAAGTATTGATGGCGCTCTTAGCTGATATGTGGGATAACGCGTTCGTGTATTTGTACTATATGTCTACTTCAACAGCAGCCGAGCATAGGCTCGTAAAACTTGTAGTTAAGAGCATAATGAAGGAGTTGTTATTAAAGATACTGCCAACTGACTGCGCTATAGGGTATCATCGGCCGGAGTAGAAATATCTCCGGTGGAGAAGCAATTTCTTTTTGTCTATCGACGTCAATAACCTGGAGAGAGGTCAATTCTGTGTGTGGGGTTATAACTTCGTCTCGGACTTGGTACCACACTTATCTCACTACCTAAAACCTTTTTGTCGCCTAGTTTACACAAAAGAAAATTGAGGGAATTCAAAGCAACTAAGCTTTCAAATTAGTCAAAGAAAAGGTATTGAATGTATCTATTGTGAAACGCCTTGTAGACAGTGATCCATTTCAAGTAGCTGCTCACTTTTTAATAGAACGATAGGTGAAGTACTGTACCATACTATCAACGGCAAACCCGCTACATACAGTTCTTAGCAAGAATTTTAGTAAGAGTCAACGGAACTACTTTACCATAAAACCGCAACAACTTGCCATTGTTGCGCTACGACAGTTTAAAGACACCTTTGCGGAAGATGTTCTGTGTCGCCATTGATCAAAAGCCCATAACATACCTCAAAGGTATGTAAATTTGCTGCTGAACACAAAGAACATGTATCCGAATATAAGACGCTAACTCACCTTAAGGGTGATCCCTTTCAGCTTGGCCTTTGCAAGCATAATGCGTGAGCCAACCCTCCATGGCAACATACCCCAGTCGTTAAATTTTGTTTTTCATTACTAAATTGACTAGTCCCATGCTGTGCTGTTCCATACATCACTTTGATCATTGGATGCATGAGCTTACTACTTTGATACAAGATGAACCAGTCCCGACCGTGAAACCGACACGTTCGTATATCAGTGGAAACTCTTTTCCGAAAGCTTGAATTGAATGAGTCTAAAGCTTCGCTATTCGTTAGTTCAAGACTAACGCAACACAAAAGCCCACCAGCAATACATTCAAGATTACGCTTATTAGAGGTTGTTACTATCGTAAAGCATAGACCTTGCTAAGGCCATGGACCAACGAATTTGATTTCTACACAACGAATCAGAAGCTCGCCCATATTTTTAGAAGCGCTACTTAAAGAACAACCAGGTGTTGCAAAACAATTATGTAAACGACTACGTGAATCATCATATCGGACTGAAGAATTCTTGAACAAGGCAAATATTAGTGTAATCAATTGCGTTTTCGAAACGGCCTTTTAAAATAAAACATTCACTGATCACACTACTGAAGACTTGGTTCATCCATTGAGTGTTGTAACATAAACACGCACGAACTTAGAAAAGCTCGAAAGTATAGATACATTACTGCATAATCTTACTCACCGAGCGTTTGGCCACACTTACACGGTGCCAATTCACGTAGAACTTGGTCATCCTGCACTGAAAGAAAATATACGTGAAGTGTACCGACGCTGTACTAATTGTGCAAGTCCCATATCAAGTACTACGGTTGGGTATCCCTATCAGTCGTTACGGAAGTGCAATCTATGTGCCAAGTTCAGCTTATGCGCCAAGACCTGTTAAGACTCCTGCGATCCAGGTACAATGACGATGTATACGGCAGCCACTTCTTTTGTGTGGCTTCTGGCTACAAGTTGTTATATGTAATACCAACAAAACCGCCCTTAAGCAATTGCAGAAGTATGTTATCATGTCTTTTGTGACTTCGGGTTCGCCGAGCACTATGTTTGGATATTGATAGTGAGCTTTGTACCGGCGTAAAGTACGCACTTATAGTTATTATATGTAGTACCAACAAAAACGCCCCCAAGCAATTGTAGAACTATGTTGTCATGCCTTTTTGTGACTTCGGGTTCACCGAGTACTATGTTTGGATATTGATAGTGAGCTTTGTACCGACGTAAAGTACGCACTTATTGTTGTTATATGTAGTACCAACAAAAACGCCCAATTGCAGAACTATGTTACTATGCCTTTTGTGACTTCGAATTCACCGAGTACTGTGTATAAATATCGATAGTGAGCTTTGTACCGACTTAAAGTACGCACTTATACTCATATCAGGCATGTCATAAAGGCGTGATATACTTTATAAACCTCAAATGCCGGGCGCTAAGGAGACATGTCACGGAGAACTCAAGAAAACTTTACGTACTCCATTAAGTGACGAAGACGACATGTGGCCTTATCAATTGAAGCCAATTTAACCTCAACTGAATAGCTGCTTGTATCCTCAAACCGAAACATTTGGTTTCACTACTTTATTTTTAGCCGCTATAATGAAATACAAAACTGTTGTGCCCGACAAACACAATATTTCTGGCTGCAAAAAAGCCAAGCATATGCAGAATGTTGTTTACCTTTGTTTAAACGAGCACAACAATCGGTTCCTACTTAAAGCGCAAGTCCAATTGAATGAATAGAAAACATTGTCAAGCTCAAAGTTGGTATTTAGATAAATTGTCATAATTAATCAAAACTCGAACGTCACTGAACTATCTTCTTAGACGATCAGATCGTTTATATTTTCACATCATGATGAGAAACGTGATACGAGTTAGGTAGAATAGACGATACGAACGCAACCGAACGTATTCACACCTCCGTAATCACATTTGCTCGCCCATTTGAGTCTGATATCCATGTTCTGGAGTCACAACTCAAAAAGACATTGTTGACAAATTATCCCAATTTAATTGCACATCTATAAGACCCGCTTCACGGACGGTATTGTCATCTGACTAACATACTTCCTTTCCGACTCTTCAACAAGAAATGGTTAATTTTGTTTTACATAAAAACTCACGTGATAAAGAGAAAGGCTTCCATCAGGTGAATACCAACCCTGGCAATTCTGAAATACCTTACTTACCAACCACATTGCACGTGATATTTACCAACAGTGAACCTAATCTAAAAACCTAAAAACATGGTTACTTGACCCACAAATATACGTCATAGAGCACATCATGAGACTTGATCATGTACATATAGGCCCCAGACTTACTTGGTAAGACATGACCGAAACCGGTTTGCTTGTGAACAACCGTAGCTACAAAGCTACTGAGGGCTATGACGAAGAAGGACAGCCTCTGGTCAGTCTAAAATATCAGATATCAATGCTTCCAAATTTTGTTTTTTGACCTATCTAAAACCACGATACATTTTCTGATGATATCCAGCGTTCTGTATTCACTTTGATAGCTCAATATACTGCAGCCCGTAGTATGGCTTGCGGACCTATATTGAAATCAGACACTGACGGACCGAACTACTTTTGAGAACCCGGTCACCATTATATGTCACCATTAAATATAATTTGAAGTTCCTCATGCGATGTGTTGTTTAGTAAACTTTCGCAAGCAAGCGGCCTAGACCAATACAATTGACCGCAGGAATAACATCTATCGTATACTTGCGCTGGATACGATCTTGTGACCATTATCGACTAAGGTTATCACCATGAACACATAATAGTAGTAGATATTTAGGTGCCATAAGTTGTTCGTTAAAAGCATCACTGTTATATGATCCTTAGATGGCTTGCCATCACGCGCTTCATGGACATTGGCAATTAGAAGCTCGCATTCGTAAGTCGTTATCTCATGCTTAGCAAGTCAACCATTCCAATTTTAACTTCGGCTTGCTCATCGGACGTATACTCGCCATCGGAATCAGACTGCCCAAGACAGCTCGATCTACTCTTCCGCAATCCCGAGAAGTATTATCCTTTTAATATACTCATGGCTGCTTTCACACTCGTATCGTGCATGTATTCATGGCTACTTTCACACTCGTGTATCGTGCTTCTATCCTCGAATTCGGATCACACTCGACAAAGATCAGGTTCCTTTTTCTGAGCTGTGATTTGACTTCTTACAATAGGTACCATCTAGTCACAGAGAAGGTAGACGGAAATATTTCATTTGTCCTCCTTAGCGCAAGATATTGTCGGTGCAAAGTAGCTTTCGGTCTCTCGCAAGTTATCAATGACAGGAGTGGTAACACCTGGACACGCAGTAACAGAACTTTCCATCTATCATAAATCAATTATTTTTAATATCAGCTACGATTGCATGTTGTTTGGAGCTTTTGGGCCTGTTGCAGGTACACCTGGCCTGTCTCGGTGATTGTGGAGTCCGCCCGCACCGGTTTGACTGCCTGTTCAGTAGGTAAGCAAATGTATACGTATTTGAGTATGTACAATTCACGCGTGCGCTATGTTTTCTTCCTATACAAATTGTGTTTGAAGCATCAATATGATTAATTAGAAATCTGGACATCTACTTTCTCACGAGCAAGTTTATACCGATTTATATCCATCATTTGAGTATGCAAATGTTTATATAGACATACTTATATACATATTCATCTACACAAACACACACACACACACATGTATTTATTTATAAGCTATTTAGTTTACCAATCAGATTCTCACGCGTACCTGTTTGCATCTTCTGGGGGCCACCCCATTCGATATAGTCTGGTCGCTCTGCTGCGGTGTATTCCTGAATGAGTTCATCGACTACTTGCCTGTGAAGATGTCGGATCAGGATGAGTACATAGGCTCAGTAGTCAATGGCAATACAGAAAATCAAGTTTCAGATATGAACATGGTAAAACTAATATGGGTATATCAAACTAATATGGACATATCAAACCAATAGGGAATGGCAAACTAATATGGACATGACTTAACTTCTAGGGACATATCAAAATATGGACACGGCAAATTAATATGGACATGTCCAATCAATTTGTATATTTGTACATGTCCAACTAATATGGCAATTTGTACATGTTAAACTGATTTGGATATGTGTACATTTCCAACGAATATGGAAATTTGTACATGTTAAACTAATTCGGATGTATGAACATGTTAAACTGATTTGGATATATATACACTGTCAAATAATATGGAAAAATGTACATGTCCAACTAATATGGAGATATACACATGATAAACTGATTTGGATATATGTACATTTCCAATTATTTTGGATATATGTACATTTCCAACTATTTTGAATATGTGGACATGTCCAACTAATTTGGAAATATAGACATGTCCAACTAATTTGGAAATATAGACATGTCCAACTAATTTGGAAATATAGACATGTCCAACTAATTTGGAAATATAGACATGTCCAACTAATTTGGAAATATAGACATGTCCAACTAATTTGAATATGTGGACATGTCCTACAGCGGGTTGAATACTAGCTCTTACCTCGAGTCGTCGAATTCTTCGAAGCCATTTTTAAAAATGTCAGACTTTTTGAACTCTTGCAAGTACGCCCCGCGCGCGCGCATTTTGTCGAACTTTGTGCAAATTCTGTTGAACAGCTGTGCGAAAGACAATGGACCGTAAGACACATTCAGTGGTCCTGTGTAGTAAGCCATTTATGGGTTATATATACATGGTATATATATATACAGTGGCAGTGTGTGTGATTAGACATTTATGGGATATATATACAGTGGCAGTGTGTGTGATTAGACATTTATGGGATATATATACAGTGTTAGTGTGTAGTAAGAAATTTACGGGATCTGTATACAGTGGTAGTGTATACAGTGGTAGTGTGTGTGATTAGACATTTATGGGATATATATACAGTGGTAGTGTGTGATATTAGACATTTATGGGTTATATATACAGTGGTAGTGAGTGATTAGACATTTATGGGATATATATACAGTGGTAGTGAGTGATTAGACATTTATGGGATATATATACAGTGGTCGTGTGTGATATTAGACATTTATGGGTTATATATACAGTGGTAGTGTGTGATATTAGACATTTATGGGTTATATATACAGTGGTAGTGTGTGAGATTAGAAATTTGTGGGTTATGTATACAGTGGTAGTATGGGATGTTAGACATTTATGGGTTATATATACAGTGGTAGTGTGTGTGATTAGACATTTGTGGATCAACCGATCGTCAGACTAATTGCGCACTCAGGTCACTCAGTGCGTGTGAGTAGGTGCTGGATATACATAGAGGTACACACAAGAGATTCACGAATGTCATCATTGCGCAAACTTAGACGATAAACTACTCGGGGTATGTGTACATGTGCATATGTATACGTGTATATATGTATGTGTACACGTGTATATGTATATGTGTATATATGGTAGTATGTGACATGTATATGAATATATGTGATAGTATGTGTACATGTGCATATGTATATGTGAATATATGATAGTATGTGTGCATGTGCATATGTATATATGTAAATATGATAATATGTGTACATGTGCATATGTATATGTGTATATATGATAGTATGTGTACATGTGCATATGTATATGTGTATATATGATAGTATGTGTGCATGTGCATATGTATATGTGTATATGTATATATTTTAGTATATATACATGTGCATATGTATATCTGTATGTATTTTAGTGTCTATACATGTGCATATATATATATATATATATACTTGTATAAATACATGTGCATATGTATATATGTATATATTTTAGTATATATACATGGCATATGTACATATGTATATATGATACTAAATATACATGTGCAAATGTATATATGTACTTATTTATTATTTTAGTATATATACAAGGTATATATTTTAGTATATATACTTGTGCATAAGTACATGTGTGTATATGTATATATGCTAGTATCTATACAATTGCATATGCATAGATGTATGTATGTATATATTATAGTATATATACATGAGCATATGTAGATAAATTACATATGTATATATGTTAGTATATATACATGTGCATATGTGCATAATTATGTATGTATATATGCTATTATATATACATGTGCATACTTACTGATTTGATGTTAGTATGGTTCGCCAGCATGAACCCGGTGACGCGATTGAGTGAACGTTCGTAGGGCGATCGTCTAGCTAACGCAACCTACATAAGAAGAAACAGTTCATACGGACAAACGTTAGCACAAGGGGAACAGTTCCTATTAATAAACGTTAGAACGCATTGACAGTTCATATGGATGGAAATTAGCACGTGTCGAGTTCATTGGGATAGATTTTGGCACAAATCACGGCGTAGAACATAGGAACAGCCGATGACAGCAAACGATTTAAGTTGAACGGAAGCCGGGTACACAATGTATATACATAGTATACCTAATTGATATAAATACTAGCTATATATACATGATATGCATACACAATAATACATCCTTAGTAAACATACTAAACATACATCACAATATACATACATAATATACGCACATGATATAAATATTTACATACATACATACGGTTATATAAGCCGAGTAAAGATACCATTGCAGGGCGTTGCAGAATACATTGGAACGGGCTTTCGAGTTCCGTTCCTTTGCAGAGCCCAAAGCAACGGCGTAACATTTTCAGTAGACTTCATACACACAATACACACACAAATGAACGTGATCAGTAATACGTATACTGAGCAGCACAGCATGCCTTGGATCTACGTGCTCACACACAGTGCAATTGAACGAATGAGCGTAGATTCATGGTTCTATTATCATACACACACGGATCTAACACATGTACATATACGCAGTTCTATGTATATATCAATGTATAAATATATATATATCTACCCAAATTTGTACATACACGGAGCTATATATATATATATATATATATATATATACCCATGCATGTGTTAGTATACTTGTATGCAAGCCTTGCCTGTATGCTTGCAGGGCCCCAAGGGATGAACTTAACGAGTTTGCGCTCGCGTATCCTCTGCAGTGACTGATGCACCTCCGTTGGATCGACATCGCCTTGTATCGTATTCAGAATCGATATGTAGCAGCCCTGATTCTGTAGAAGAATGGTGATTGGGTTTTAGGGTGGTAGGGTTTAAAAATCTGATGCTGTAGAGGAACGGTGGTTGGGTTTTAGAGTTCTAGGGTATTAGGGGTTTGAAACCTGATACTGTAAAAGAATGATGGTTGGATGTATAATGATTACACCTGCGGATCGTATGAAGAATCGATACGACTATATACATACGTATGCATCTTAAATACACACGTCATTATATCTACCGCTCCTGCGTAAACCTCTTACCTGCGTAGAGACTGAGACCATGCTGTTCTGTGGGTGCAGTAGGCGGCGCATCACATCCAGCACTGACGTTTTACGTACACTCCTATACAAATACATAACACCTTAATACATACGTCCGTATACCCACCGCTCCTGTTTACACCTCTTACCTGCGTAGGGACTGAGACCATGCTGTTCTATGGCTGCAGTAGGTGTCGCATCACATCTAGCACAGACGTTTTACGTACACTCCTATACGAATACACAACACCTTAATACATACGTCCTGATACCTACCACTCCTGTATACACCTGTATACACCTCTTACCTGCGTAGGGACTGAGACCATGCTGTTCTGTGGCTGCAGTAGGCGTCGCATCACATCCAACACAGACGTTTTACGTACACTGGTAGACGTTTTGCCCAGCGCAGTCAGTGGTGTGTAGCCAGTCATCAGGTAGTGCAACCGTGGGGTGGGGATGAGCGAGGCTATCATGCCCACCAGGTCATTGTTCATGTATCCTGGATGGCGAGAGAGAGAGAGAGATATATATATACATACATACATACATACATATATATATATATATATATATATATATATACATTTATATATAATATATATATATATAAATAAATAGATATATATATATATATATATATATATGGGTTGCATTGGTACGAGTTTAAACAGCCGAACACACCCATATCCAACGGTATATATATATATATATATATGCATCGGCCAAAGTATAACAGAACATACAGATATCGCATATGCGGACATAGGTACACTGTAGGGCCCACCATGCTACAGCAGTGTTAGCGATTGTACTGTGGAGTTACGTAATGAGTGGTGTCCTTACGTATATGACTCACAGACGACTCGGAGTGCCCAGGAATGTAGTTAAATAAATACGTAAATCAATTTCGATACGTAAACCACTGGACAGACTCTTGAAAGCGGGACCATAGCGGGATAGATACGACAGACTGTTTTTGCGGACACACTCGCGAATATTCATCACACGTGCTTACGGACTTTCCCAAACGTAAAAACGTATTCCTGCAGGTTTGGCGATACTAGGGGACAACACCTTTTCATCTCTGAAGAACACACACAGACCTACACATCCCTGAAGAACACACACACACACCTACACATCTCTGAAGCATAAACACACAAACCTACACATCTCTGAAGCATAAACACACATACCTACACATCTCTGGAGCATAAAAACACACACACACATCTCTGAAGCATAAACACACACACCTACACATCTCTGAAGCATATACACACATACCTACACATCTAAACACACATACCTACACATCTCTGGAGCATAAAACACACACCCACACGCACTCGACCGTACCTGGGTATCTCAGTGTGGCTGTGCTAGTAGACATGACAGTCGACACCAAATGGTTTATGTCCTCCATGGTTGGTTTCTCGATGTGTAACTTGTCCACTGCAATGCTATTTAGGGCCGTATTGTCCAGTACTACCACACTATCGGCATTCTATAAATAGAACAAGGGAGTAGGTATGGGAGTTTTTTTAGGTTTAGGGTTTGGGGGTTTAAGTACGGGGTTTTGTCGAATATAAGTACTGGGCAGTAAACAGAATATATATGTATACACATATGCACGACATACAACGCAGACTGATGGATACACACGTATGCCTAACTTATAGAACAGTCTCATAGGTACCACACAAACAATTACGCATATACATATATATATATACACAAATATACACACATATGCATAGCATACAACACAGTCTCATAGGTACCACACAAAAACTTACGCATATACACATATATACACACAAATACACACACATAAGCATAAAATATAACACAGTCTCATAGGTGCCACACAAGCACCTACGCATACACACACACACACATATATATACATATACCTGTGCATGACATACAACGTAGTCTCATAAATACCACACAAACACTTAGGCAGGTACACACACACACAACACACACACACACACACACACACACACACACATATATATATTGTGATATATATATATAAACACATACATATATACATATGTACGATATATGACGTATTGTCATAGACACCAAACAATAAACTTACGCATATATATACATATATATATAAACTTACATATATACATATGTACGATATATGACGCAGTGTCATAGCTACCACACATACACTCACCATGGTGAGTCGCTTGAGGGTGAGCACGGAGTTGTACTCCTGCACGACGGTATCCTGTGTGGCAGTGAAGAAACAGAACAGAACAACTCAGTGGTACATATGCGCATATGCACAGTTACGTATGTGCATTTACATGTGTTTATAGTCAGCTACATGTGTGTTTATAGTCAGTTAAATATGTGTATATACACAGTTACATATGTGCATATACTCAGTTACGTATGTGTTTATGGTCAGTGGTACATATGCGCATAAACAAGTGCAGTGATAAGATCATTGTATGACAATATAGAGTACCATTGATCACAGCTCCAGCAGATATAGCGTACTGCTCTCTAATAGTATACATGTCTATATATAGTATTGTATATATGTCTATATACAGGTATGGTATATGTGCCTATATTTGAGTATGATATATGTGCGTACGTATCTATTAATATACAGGCATCTTATATATGTCTGTCTGTACGTTGTATTTACATATTTTACATATGTCTGTATGTACGTTGTATTTACAAATTTTATATATCTCTGTATGTACGTTGTATTTACATACGGTATATATGTCTGTATGTACGTTGTATTTGCGTATGGTATATATGTCTGTATGAACGTTGTGTTTACAAATGGTATATATGTTTGTATGTGCGTTGTATTTACATATGGTATATATGTCTGTATGTACGTTGCATTCACGTATGGTATATATGTCTGTATGTACGATGTATTTACATATGGTATATATGTCTCTATGTACATTGTATTTACATATGGTATATATGTCTGTATGTACGTTGTATTTACATATGGTATATATGTCTGTATGTACGTTGTATTTACATATGGTATATATGTCTGTATGTACGTTGCATTTACGTATGGTCTATATGTCTGTATGTACGTTGTATTTACATATGGTATATATGTCTGTATGTACGTTGTATTTACATATGGTATATATGTCTGTATGTACGTTGCATTTACCCATGGTATATATGTCTGTATGTACGTTGCATTTACGTATGGTCTATATGTCTGTATGTACGTTGTATTTACATATGGTATATATGTCTGTATGTACGTTGCATTCACGTATGGTCTATATGTCTGTATGTACGTTGCATTTACACATGGTATATATGTCTGTATGTACGTTGCATTTACATATGGTCTATATCTGTACTGTGTGCTCATAACGGGACTTCTATCTACAACATTGGCGGGTTCACATTGGCCAATGAGACCCTAACTCATTCGCCTTAGCACAGCCAGAGCATCTGTGTTAATGATAAGGCCATCTGTGTTGTATCCCATCTTATTACTGTCCACACTCTTCTCATAACTACACTTCAGCACCTGCGTATGTCCCAGCCCTAACCCACCTTCACTGCACTTCACTGCAACCTACATCTACCTATAGCCTAAACCCACCCCCCCACTGATCAACTTCAAAAGATCTTGGGGGGGGGGGGTTTAAATAGGCCTATACTTACCGCGCCAGGAAAAACAGAGTATGTCTGCAGCACTTTCTTCGGAAACCAATCGTTGAGCCTCTCAAGTACATGAGAGCCCATCCCTGACCCAGTACCTCCAGCGATACTATGAGTCATTTGAAAGCCCTAACAACAGCCGGCGAGAATACAAGCCGTGAGTGACTTCGATTGGGTGAGTGTATACGTATATATATATATATATATATGTATGTGTGTGTGTTGTACGTTACAAGCAGGCAGGTTTATGTATATGTGTGTATTCGTATATAGATGTATGTAAGATACATGTACGCAGGTATATATGTGAGTAAAAAGTTCCAATTCAACAGGACATACAGAAATCACACAATCGGTTGTTACTGTGATAACGCATATATATCCATACACCCCTACAGACACTTAGACACAGACAAACACATACAGACACAGACACAGACACAGACACACTCACCTCCAAGCTATCGCTATTTCAGCCTCGCGATTGATGATGTCGTAGACGATAACGAATATACATACATACAACCCTACACATACAGACACAGACACAGACACTTACGCACACAGACACAAACACACACCTCCAAGCTATCGCTATTCTCCGCCTCGCGGTTGATGATGTCGTAGATGTCTTCCTGTTGCTTCTGGCTGCGTTCGTATCCCGTGGCCCATACGTTGCCAGCACCTCCGCCGTCGGTGGCTTTAAACACGTTCTCTCGGTTGTACAGCTTACCATGAGACCCACTCAGTACATGTTGAATGACCTGTGGGTGTATAGTATAAGCAAATAAATATGTGCCCAGGATTGGGTGTATATGCAAGTGTATGTGCATATATGTATCATGAGTTGACTACCTATGTGTGTACAGTATAACTGAATTAAAATATGCAATTGGATGGGTATATATGCAAGTGTATGTGCATATATATATATCATGGGTTGATTACCTATGTACGTATAGTATAACTATTGTAATATGTGAAATTGTAGGTGTACATATACAACATGGATTAATAACCTATCTGTGTACTGTATAACTATAATAATATATGGGATTATATATATGGAATTGTAGATGTATGTAAGAACTCATTGAGAACGATTGGGTGTCCTGTTTACGTTCAAATGTCAAAATCAAGACAAATATAAGAAGTCACACATAAAAAGCACGGTGTATGCATACAATATACTCAATACTATCTCCAGAAACATAACACACACACACACACACACACACACACACACACATATATATATATATATAACAAACAACACACACACACACACACACACTATTATATA